TTGGAGTGGAGTAGATTGGAGTGGAGTAGATTGGAGTGGAGTAGAGTAGAGCAGAATAGAATAGAATGGAGAATAAAACGAGTAGAGAAGAGAAGAGAGAATGGAGAATGAATAGAGAACAGAACAGAGAACAGAGAAAAGAGAAAAGAGACTAGAAATAGTCCTCAAGTTATGACTGCAATGGAGTCTGCTAAGTTAAGGACTACCTGTGGAATGGAGTAACTGAACATCAATGTGATGTACAAAAAGGGTGGGTCTTGCACTCCATCCTTCTGTCCACCATCATTCCCATTTTGCGCCCTCCCCCAAGGACATTGCTGGTTCTGCCCCTCCTCCCAAGAGTGTCTTGCTTCCCCACTAACCTTCTGCTGAGCATCCCCCACCCCAGGACTGGCAATGGCATAGTCCCACCCACCTGCCTTCTCCTTAACACCCCCCCCCTCCCAAACCAATTTGTCATTCCCTTTACCTTATAGAAGAAATACTGTACAAGGTGGGATATTCGGACATAATACAAATGGCCGTGAGCCAAGAGAAGTCTTTTCAAGTGCTTAAACTTGGGGACGGCATAGTCACTGTTCCGGGCAGCTTGGCGTCCCTCTTTTCCCTTGATACCTGGGTGAGGAGAAGAATGGAGCAGGGTCAACCTTGCACATCAGATGCCTCGATATCCTGATCACCCAGATGTTTATAAAAGCTCTCTCGGCCTGGCTCCTGTTATGTCCTGGAGCTCATGTGTGCTGGTTTCTTTGACCTGGGGCCTCCAAATGTGGCGACTTTAAGACTTATAGACTTCAACTCCCAGAATTCCCCAGTCAGATAGAGTTGGAAGGGGCCAGAAGGGTCACCTAGTCCAGTGTTTCTCAACCTAGGTGACTTTAATAACTTCTGGACTTCAAGTCCCGGAATTCTGGGAGTTGGAGTCCACGACTCTTAAAGTTGCCATGTTTGGAGACTCCTGCGTTTGGCCAACACACTCCCAGAGGGAGAAGACCCCATTGTGGGTTGAAGCATCCCTTACCGATGCCCACGTGAGCTTCCAAAATCATGCTGACATCATTGGCGCCATCTCCAACAGACAGCGTGATGGGACTGCCTTTGGAATTCTTCACCATGCGGACGATCTGCGGGAGAGAGATGGATGGTGGATCAGGATAGGTTGGCTGAGATATTCCTCACCCAACGTTGAGCCGGCTTCCCGAGGACTGCACCACCCTGAGGGCCGAACTCAAGAACAGGCCAGATGTTTATGGTCATTGGCTTCCCGAAAGAGATGTCTTCCAGAATTCACACTGAAGAAGGGATGTCTCCTTGCAAGGTTCTGTTGGGACGGGAAGTGGCTTGGCTCACTTACAGAGGACATCAACACACCTGAGCCTTTTGCAACGGGGCCATCCGGCAGCACAAGACAGCGGTGCACTTCAGGCAGATCTGGAGGAAGATGCTCTTGTAATGGGAAAAGTTGGGATCCTGTGAAGGGTTGAGGATCAGGGAAAGGGTCGCCCCGTCAATCACCAGTCCATAGTCGTAACCGGATACCAAGGCTCTGAAACAGAGAAAAGTGACTTGTTGGCTGGAGACCTTAATAGGACCCAAGTTGTAGTCAGAAGAGCCAAGGAGGAAAAATTGAGGGCAAGTGAAACTCAAGGAGTAGCAACCCTTCTATTCTTCTGGCTGTTTTAATTTCTTTAAGAGTCAGATGTGTAGGAAAATGTGTTTTAGGCGCCACTTAAATGGGTTACCCTTCTTTAGCTGAGAAGGAAGAGAAGAGATGGAAAAATAGCAACTTTGGATTCTCTGCAAGGAAGACATCCAGGCAGAAAGACAAGGAGATCTCAAGATATCAAGCAACGTGATTGAATGGGACTAAGACAGGTCCAACTGTGATCAGCTCCTACAATAGAAGTGGATGCACTAGGATGCACCATGTCATCTCCAAATACCTCAGGCCTAAAAAACCATCCCCTCATGGATGTGTCTCCTCTCTCTCTTGACCCCTCTCCTAATCCTTCACATCGGTGTGTCTCAACCTTAAGAGAGGTGTGTGTGTGTGTCAATGGTCCAACTGGTGAACTCAAAAGAAGTAAACATTCTCGAATCCCCAAAGTATAACTTTACTGGAGACACCATCTGGGAACTGCAGAAGGGAAACCAGCTCTGGTTTTCTCATGTAAACGCTCACTTAAGTTAAACAATAGATGCCCTACCTCCTAGGCGTTCACATTGTCCAATTATAAATCTTCCTTTTGTTATGGGAACAGTCCGTGTCTCCATCTAACACCTGCGGTGGTGACCTTGAGGGAGGTTCAGGCTTTCACAGTCCACAGACAAAACCTTAGCATTCCATTTCCCCACTCCATCCCCCCACAGGCAAGTTGAAGAGCGATAGTAGCTCAGTAGTAGTGAAGCGATTCAATCTTGACAGCGTGGACTTCAG